AAAATAATAGAAAAAAGAGGCCGAAACAAATGAGAAATTAAACATTTAACCAAATATTTTATTTGTCTAATGTTCATTTTTTACAAGTTTGATCTTATCATCTTGCACCAAATTGAGATATTTTACAAAACGTAAACCTTTAATTTAAAATGTCACGAAAAATCATACGTAATTAAGATTAAGTATGAGAATGCGAATTTGTGTGTATTCAGATACATTTCTCACAATTTCTCCATTCGTAACTTATGAAAAAATCTAAATAATTTTTTTTTTCAGTTTCACATTAGAAATATAAATGCGAGAAACTTGGAAGCAAGAAAGCTCCAAACTGGAAATTTATTTACATATCAAGCAATGAATAAAACAGAATTCTCTTAAATTTACTTTAATGTTTGTTATATTTGTAACAATTCCCAGCAGAGCGTTGTCGAAAGCGTGTGTGTATATTTAATACTTTCTAGCATATACGCATAACATTATCATACTCGGTATGATTACCATGATTTTATAAGATGATAAGACGAAAGACATTTCTTTACCATCTGAAATAAGTTTGTTGCCGTAATAAGTTTGTAATTTATGGAAAATTCTTTTCCTCTTCATATTATTTTCCTTCGCCAGTTTATACTGAGAACAATAATCTTAACAACCATTTGAATTTAACATGCTGGTTGCGTCATGGCAATTTTTAATTAAAGCTTTTGGTAAATGAAAGCCCTAGAATACATATTGCGCAAAAACGAAGCAAAACCCAAAAAAAGGAATCGAGCAATTGAAGCTTGAATTTCAAAGTAGTACAACATTGTTACGACGAACCAAAGAAATGTTGAAAACACTTGGAAATAAAACAAAAACATCGTTTGATGGTAAAAGGATATTGTCAGCATCAGTTTTCGTAGAACACTCATCGTCAATAGAAAGAAAGCATCAAATTTCTGGCAACCATATAAAAACGTTCTTCAATTACAATTCCCGAAATAAATAGAAAGAAAATAAATTAATTCGAAATATTTGAAGCATTTAGAAAATCAGAGCCAAAAAATATTTNACCATATTAAAAACGTTCTTCAATTACAATTCTCGAATATAAATAGAAAGAAAATAAATTAATTCGAAATATTTGAAGCATTTAGAAAATCAGAGACAAAAAATATTTTTAATTTATTATCAATAATTTAAAAGTAAGTGAGAATGGAAATTTCCTCCAAAATGTTGACAATAAGTTTTAAGTAGATCATAATTGAAACAAAAAATGGGAAATTTCATGATAATTGAATGAACGTTAAAAAGTTTCATGAAATATTAAATTAAATTTCAAACAAATATATGCTCGAAGTGAATTTGAAATGATGATAACGAATGACAATCAGAAAGAAGAGAATGAGGCATGTGTCGTAGGAAGTCATTCAGTCTCTTCAATTGCTTTAACTGATTCGTGACATTTCATTTCTTATTCCTTGCTTTGAAAGGAGCATTAAAGTGATGAAAAAGAAAAGCGCTATGTAGATTTGTATTTATATTTATGAAGAAATGTAGCATACTTTTTGATGAATAACTCTTAGAGTGAATTAATGAATTCATAAAAAAGGAGCAAGAGGGTAAATTTTTATATTTATTCATAACGAATTCGCTCGCGAAATTTCATTTTTCTTCCAGAAAATGTCATGTTTTAAACAATGTATTTTATTCAAAATTGTTCACAAGTCATAAATGTATTTCTCTCATCCACGCTTCGTTATGCACATTTTATGACAAATTGTGTAGTATTGTAAGCAAGTAGAAGGGAAATTACATGACGTTATTTGTTCTTCATTCTTTGAACATTTGTTCTTAAAGTCAAGGAAATAAACTTTGTTTGCAAATATGTTGGATAAGTCTTGTGGATCAGTGAATTGCAAATAGTAATTCTTCTTTGAATCGACATAAGAATATCTTTCCATAAAGTCAATAATTTGTAATCAGAAAATTAAATTTCATACAAATCCCAAACAAATATTAACTGCAAAAATCCCAAATCGAAAAAAAATAAGAAACAAATTTATTTTCAAATTTCCTCCTAATATGAGAAAAGTTTCGCTTATCATTTCCATAGAGACACAAAAAGTGATCTTTTCAATTGACAAGACGAACAAAAGTTTTGAGTTCGAAACAGGAAGGAGGCGTTAAGTGTTACGCTTGATGAAAAACAGATTTCAATTTCACTTTTTGTGTTGTCGATGAAAATTTGCTCTATTCATTTTGTCGTTTTATCTGCATGTGATGTGGGACTTGGGGATTACGACAAATGGCAATTGATTTCATGCTATTTTTTACGAGCAATTTTTTCATCCCGAGCCCAACAAAATTTCTATTCATCCAAATACCATTTTCTACGCTGACACTTCTTTTTATGCTGTCTCCTTTCATGCCTTGACGATACATGATAAAATACCATGAATGTAAATTTCATAAGATACAACAGCCATAAGCAAATTGCTTTTCGCTTGTTTCTTTTTCTTTTTTTCCTATTAGTCCAAATAATTTTTTCCCTGCTTGATAGCAAGCGGGTTTGTGGGATGAACATGTCGCTTTTGATGGATGAGTAAACAGGGGGCTGGAAGATTAGAAAATTGTGTGAAAATCTTCTACAGAAGAACAAAAAGTTTCCAAGTTCGAAAAAAGTGCTAAGATATTAAATCATCTACGAATAGACCCAAAAACAAATTTCCTGATTCACTTGAAATAAGGTACGGCGTGTAGGCATGAAATATATTTATAAGACATAACTCAATACGGAAAAAAAGGTGATTTCAGCGGCATATGAATGATTGCATTGCTTCTCAAAACTAATAAATTGGTTTGATTATAACTGAAGCAGAAAACTCAATTTTCTGCCATATCGAACGAAACTTTTCGCTTTGATATTTCGTGATTTTTTATGAAGAAAACAAGAAAAAAACTAAACAAAAAGTTCTTCAACATAAATTATTTTTACATTTCAAAATAATTTCTTGTTCTGTCAACTTTTAATTTATAAATCAAAGAACTTTTTAATAGAAGATTCCTTAAATATTTTTATGAAATCTTACGTAATTTTCTTATAAGGTTTAAAGTATTTTTCTTCTTGATACTTCAAAATTGATCTCGTTAAGATATCTTTCCGTATTTGGCATGAAAATCAGAACATTATGACCTAAAATCAACATAAAATTTAATATTCAGAATTTAAAGAACAATTACTTAAATAGAGAAAAGACTGCGAGAATATAAAAATAAATTTATAAAAGCAAATGATGAAAAGTTTTTCTCTTTCGTTGGTTGACCATTGGGAAAATGTTTTTCTCAAGAGTACGACATTTTCATGTTACGTTGACATCTTTCGGAAGCCTGCTAAACAAATAATTAATGTGAATTTGAATTTCATTAAACTTCTTTATCAAGAAGACTTGTTTCGGACGCGCTCGCTTCTTTTTTTTTGTTCCTTGTCCTTTGTTCACCATCCGTAAAACATCGTCGCACAGTTGCGTGTCTTCGTGCCTCCCGACACTCATAAATCATGCAATATACAAATTAGAAATTTAAAGTCTCTGACGGCCTTGACGACCTCTTCCTTACCATTGAGACAGTGTTCTCTGAATAAATTTCATGGATGATATCTTTCGACAAACTTTTGCCATCTACAGTCTCCAAATAGGTATTCTCTTGTGCATCGTCAAAGCTGCGTAAATTATTTTCCTCTTTCTCACACTTCCTGTTGCTTTATAGCAGAATTCAAAGGTAAATGTAGCATCTGGTATGTAATAATGACCGATAATCTTCCTTTAACGTGTGAGTCTCTATGAGATGTAAATAAAGAACGAACTTCTTACTTCTTACTTCTTTCCCATAATTCCACATAATAAAGCCATCTCGTAAGTGAGATGAGAGAAAACTGCTCATTTAGACATAAAAATAAATATTCCATGAGAGAAATAAAATAAAGGAAAGGACACATAACCACTTGTGAAGTGGCTTTGAGTTGCTTATGCGAGAGAAATATTCACATAAAAAAATATTACACATTGTAATGCACACCTGGCAATAGAGAGAGAAACTGGAACGAGAAGTATAGAAACTGCTTGAGGTTTATGTGGGTGGCTGTGAGATGATTGCAGGTGCTAAAATATAAAGCTCACAAATAAAATGTATCGAAACTGCTGAGGCTTAAACTTATGATTAAGTACCAGTACGTAGAAAAGCTTTATTATTGTTTGGATTTAATGTCTCAAGAATAATCGATGAATTTTATTCAGATTAGATTTTTGATTAATGTTTTTAATTCAACTCAAGATTTTCGTGAATTTTAATTAGATGAAAAACCCATACCCGAGTAACGCCGACGGTTCATGTGGGCGAATTAAGTTTGCATTTTGGAAATTTCTTAAAGGCAAATTTCATTGGCATTACATGAAAAACCAGCGAAAGTCAACATAGAAATATTTTAATCCTATCATGTTAACTTACTGTTGCTGTTCCAGCTACATACTATCGTACTTAAATGATAACTAATAAAGGATCGCTAAACATTTTTTTATTTTGCTTTGTTTGTTAATGATTCAAAATATTAACATTTGTGTGATATCTTCGCTGATGGGTACAAATAGCCAAAAGTCATTCACATGTCTTATTGTAAAGGATTCCAATTTGATACTCGGGTTATAAGATTATTAATAATTATTGAAATCCATTATTGAAATTATTTGGAAGAAAAGCTCGAAACATTTTAAGATGAATTAAATTCTGAAAGTTTCTTTTATTTCTTTCGACTTTTCGTGTTTATCAAAACTGAAAAGAGGCAGAAAAAATTTCATTTCCCATTTTCTTCCCAGTTTGACGCAATGAAAAACGATAAAAAATCATTGTGGTTGTTGATAAAATATCTATCTTAAAAACGAGAACGTCAAACCATTAGATGTTGTGAAATATTTTGATTAATACACAAGCAATGATATAAAACTTGTTTCAAAGTGTTTGATTGATGATAAATTTTCACATGGCAATTTGAATTCCTCGTCTCTGTTCAGTTTTATTTCCTTTCACATTTTTTATCAATTCAAAATTTGTTATGAGAAGTGTTGAGAAAAAAACTTGGCAGAATTATAAATCCCTTCTTAATAGCTTTAAAGATCTGTTTTTCTTTCCAGCTATCAGCAAGATTACGATGAAACAAAAAAATAAACGTTTGGTTTTGATAATATTTTGAGTATCATAACAACATCATCTGGGTCGGTTTATTAATAATTGAGCATTAATTAGAGAGGGGCTAATAGAATTTAAATTCGGAAAATAATAAGAATTATTGGAAAAGGCGAAGGCTTCAAGAGATTATTATACTCTGAATATACCTGATGGCTGGGAGTTTGTAATTACATCAGAAGTAAGTATTATGCACATAAATATTTAATTAAGATTTTTAATAAACAAATGTTTTTCTCTCGAAAATGTAAAGAACCTTTTGAAAATATGAGAAAGTTTTATTTAAGAAAATAAAAGTTATTAAGGCTTTAGAATTTTATTAACAGATATTCCATGCCAACATTTCCCACGAGAAATCATCATCATCTTGTCATGGAAAAGTTTTCGTTGTTTAAATTTTTTTAAACGATTTCACCGCAAGCGTAAAGCATTTTCAGTGTTTATTAATAAATTTTGTTATTAAAGTTGGAGCTTTCCATCAATCATCCTTACCCTCCACAACAACAAATAATTCGTCAAAGAAGGTTGAAAACATAATGTTGGTTTTGAACACAGGACGAAGGAAAAGATTTTGATACCCATAAAATACCTCGGAGCCATGATTGTAAAAAAGAATAATTAGTGTGTGAGAGTATGTTGAATTGGGTCGAATTAAAGGTTGAAAGCAAAATTGTTATTTATTATCTTTTAGATATGTACCCAATTCAAATGAAATATTTCCTCGTCGTCATGGGAAAACATTGAGTTTTAATTTCAAGCGCAAATGAAGAGATCTTCATGAAAAGGAATCAGAAAGCAATTTGAAATTACTTTTTGATTAACTCATCATGTCATTTCTAGAATGTTGAGTGATACATTAATGACTGACATGTTCATATTCAACTAATGAAAACAGTTTTCAATCTCTAAACAGCAAAAATCTCATGGGCACTGATAACAAACTTAAAGTAACATGAGAATTGAAAACTTTATCAAAAAAGGGTCGAAACAAATGGAGATGAATGTTGTGTTGAAAAATATTTCTATTAAACAAATTCCAACTGTCAAGAAAGAAAAACTGGGCGTTTTAGAACAATTTTATAACAAAGATCTGAAACAAAATGTTCATCACTTGAAAGATATCTATGTTGTTTGGCGTTTGATTACTTTCTGAAATTCAAGACTGTTTTCTTCTTTTTAATGTGGGTGGAATAATAAAATATTAGAAATGTCATTACATATTTTCCTTCTCATTAATTTTAATCAGATCAATTATCCTAATTCACTTGAAGGTAAATGCTCCCATGTATGAAATTTTGAAGAGTCTTATATTTGTTTTGTTCCGTTGTTATGTTAAGAATATGAATATCATCATCATCATTATCATCAGGTCTAAGACGAGTTTCTTCTTAAGAGAGACTCACATGATTGCGCGACAAAGGCAACCCTCTTACAGAGTTGCATTTGTGATGCGGTAAACTCACGAGTTCCATTTTTGGCGGTGCTCCTAGCCTTTGCCTACCTTTGCTCAACTCGATACTTGTTAATAAAAACGAGGTTCGAACGAATTTCATTCCCGACACAAGCGTCCTTAGCCGATGAAACCAAATGAGCTCTTTTTTAGAATATATTTTTAGAATTGTATTTTTCTAGAATTCAGAGATCAAGGACATTGTCAAACAAAAATACCGATTAGGTAAATAAAAAGACACATTCATACATATCAAAGTCATAAAATATAAAAATATTGTATGGAAATGATGATTTAGGGTGGTTGGCTAATTATCGACCACCTCGAAATCGCGTCCAATTATCGACCACTACTTTCGAACTTAATTTTCTCAGCTATTTTTTATTATTTATGGCTTAAAACTTTGTAGAGAGGTAGAGCATAGTCCAAAGTAGTTCTCTACAAAGTTCTAAGACATAAATAATAAAAAATAGCTAAGAAAATTAAGTTCGAAAGTAGTGGTCGATAATTGGACGCGATTTCGAGGTGGTCGATAATTAGCCAACTACCCTAAATGAANTTTAGAATTGTATTTTTGTAGAATTCAGAGATCAAAGACATTGTCAAACAAAAATACCGATTCGGTAAATAAAAAGACACATTCATACATCAAAGTCATAAAATATGAAAATATTGTATGGAAATGATGTTTTAATTTTAGAAGAATTTTCGTCAGTACATTTCTTTGTTTATTGTCAAACGAGTAATTTATTTAAATTTTATAATTACCATTTGATAGCAATAAAACCTTAGCGACGATACATTCAACCCTTGAAGTTTTATTCATCCTTAGAAATATTTAAGTCACCCGGAAAAAAGCGTCAAAAGAATTTTTTTAATTAAAATTTCAAACCTTCATCTTATATAATTTTTAGTCACAGTTCAAAGACATATTTGAGCACAAAACCGCTAATGTATCAAAGAAAAAGCTTTCTTTTAATGATAATTTGTGGTCTTGGAGTATAATCCGAATATTTTTTGAATCTCATTACAACCTGTAGTAATAACACCATCTCGAAGCCAATGCCTAAATGGAATTTTAACCAGACGGTGCCTATAGGAAAAAGGAAAACTTTTATTTTTTATACGTACCTTTAGCAGCGATTGTTGATTAAAAGCGGAATTAATAGCGAGGCAAAAAAAATCATGTTTTGTTACGTTGAAATTTGTATTAATTGCGCAAAAGGAAGCATAATGAAAAGCGAGAAAAAAGAGAAAGAAATGGAATTACATAATTATGCAAATTAGTAGGAAAATGGAAATTATCATTTATTAGACAATGGAAATCATTTTCTTTTCCATTTTCCTGTGCATCAATTTTAAACACGATAAGCCATTAAGTAATTACGAGTAAACATATGAACTAAGAATGGAAGAAGAACATAATGCTCAAGGAAATGTGCTACTTTTTTTGAATAATTGGCTCTTAGAGTAAATTATATGATGTTAAAGCAGCAAAGTAAAAGCATAAAATTCTCTTTTACAGTCACTTTAAATCGTTAAAAGATAAGATTTGAATTAGAATTGTTTAAATTCTTCTTCACAGAATATTTCCTTCAATAGGTAAATTTGTCAATAAAGAAAATGAAACTAGGGAAACTTTCTATCTCGTAGAGAAATAGAAAGAATTTAACTACTCGATTGAACCTTTTTTAAATGAAACCATAGAAAGACGTGAAATGTTTTAGAAAAGCAGAAAAAAATGTATTTTTGTGATTGAAAATGATGAGGTTGTAAAAATAATAAAAATAATTCGATAAAAATCAATTTGAAGGGAAGGCACATTTGTGGATATTTATACGTAAACTTTTTTGAACTTTCGTTGCATTGACATACTAAATGCTTCCACATAAATCATTCTATAGATCACGAGAAGTAATTGCGCCTTTCGGGTCAATTATATTTCCATTTGCTTCGATTTTTTAGGTCAACAGACTTTCATTTTGATAGCCTTCAGCATTTTAAAATAGTAAAATATGTTGAAGAGTCAGGACTAAAGTGAATCGTGAAAAAAAATAACGAGGACTGATTGTAGCTTTAAGTTAAAAGTTAATCTAGATATTCTCAAGAAAGGAAAATTGTAATTAAATAAGTTTAGTGTTTCACAAAGTATGTATAAAAGAAAAAGTTAAGTAATTAAGCATCAAAGCGTTGAGAAACTTTACAACTGAAGACAAGCTGATTAAATCAAATCCAGTCTATGTTAAAATCTATGTTTAGTTTTATGAATATATTTTAATCTGATTTTTCTGTCACTGCATGAACGTAATTTAAAGGAATTCCTACAGCAACCTGACTCAGTTTATTCATCATTTATATCAAAAGAAAAATTTACATTTGTGTTAAAAAACTATTTTCATTTATTTCTTTGTATCTTATTAGACAATTTTTTGTTTGAAGAGCTCTGCCATCTGTGCTGTCAAATGCTATCCATAAAATATTAAACAACAAAATTGTTCCGGCACGTAGTTGAGCTATTATTTGCTTGCGATAAACACTGATGAATAATTTTTGCCAATGACTGCCACTGGTTCAATAGATGATGAAATGCGAAGAAATAAAAAAACTTTTGTTTCAGTAAAAGTGTTTAAGAAATTTTTTGATCCTGTAAAAATAAATTTGAATTACGTTTACCACTCTTGGTCTTTAAGAATTTAGCGTTTCAGCTAATTTGTATCTTCTTTTAAGTTATTGTTTGCATAAGCTATAATATAAGTTGCATTTGAGTACGAGTTTTAAATGTAAATAGATTTGATAAATGAATGAAAATGTTTCGGAATCGATTTATAAAAAGAAAGTTAATTTCTAGTCGAAACTATATTCATTGTGTGTTGAAAATCTTTCCCGTACCAAAATCATGTCTTGCAAATAGCAAAATTTAAATGCAAATAAATTGGAAGAAGATAATGTAAGTAAACCACCTCGCATCATTAAATTCAACCACCTACCTAATTAGTGTTTTTAAAAAGAATTATTTCAAATAACCAAAGCAACAAAACTTTTAAGCTAAAAGCTACTTAAATAAAACTTTTTTTATGTTTACAATTACTCAAATCTCAAACATATTAAAAAACGAATGTAGGGATTAATTTTAGGCCGTGAAATTTTGTAATCTATTTTATTTATACGTTAAGCAAATTGCTTTGAAATGTCCTTTGTGTTGAGAAATAAGCAATTCAAAGTTGAGTTTGAGTGGTACAACATGGCAAAGTGCTCATTTTCATTCGCTTCTTTAAAATTTCATTGCAGAAATTGTGTTCTCTGTGACTGGTATCACACTGGTGAAGTGTCAAGAATCCTTTTTTATTCATATAACGATACTTTGTAAAGTGATTTCAAAAGCATCTTCTAAATTTAAATTTTTAAGAGCAAAAAAGTAAAATCAAAGGCAAGACCAGTTAAACAAGTGTTCATTTAACGACATATGATAACAATTTCTTTCAGTATGTTCTCTTTGTCGGAAAATCTCATTCACCTGGGAAGGTAAATCACATTCGCAAATAATGAGGCTGGCTGTCTGCAGTGAAAAAAAGATTTATTCATGAGATACTCTCATGATATTTTTTCTCGTGCGCAGAAAAATATTACACTTTGAAGTAGTCTGCGGGGGTTGCAGCATTTTACACGTATCGTAACTAATTGTAATCGCTTCCTTCAAATCCAGTTATCTTCTAACAAATAAAAAATATCATAAGAAAAAAAAACTTCATTCGAATGCCATGCTTTCGTATTTATAAAAACCCCTGAATCAAAATAGGAAACAAATAAAAAGATTCTACGTTAAGGGTCAGTTGATATCGATAATGTTTATTTACATCCTATTCGATACTATTTTTATTTAAGTTTTCCCATGTTTGGATGAAAAGTTATGAAGCAAAGAGGGAAGAAGTGTAACGGGAAAAACTGTCTCCAGCGAGAAACCTACTTATACATTCAAAGGTTCGATGGCCTCGAAAAAGTCTTTCATTGCAGTATTTGTGTGTGTTAGTTACAGAAAGAAGGATTTTTGTTTTGAATGCTATTTAGATTGTCATGATATTCTTGCTTTCTCAGACTCACACTTCTTAAACACCCCAAGTCATGCGCTCAAAGCTTTGTTTTGAAACATTGAAGCTCAAAACTTTAATGTTTTCCACTTTGCAATGTTTTTATGTCACACTCACACAATGTCGCACGACATTGCAACGCAACAGTCAAACACCTTTTAAGTTTATTTAATTATTTTGAGGAAGTTCAAGTGCAAAAGAAGAATATTACCATTTTCTTGACACATACAAGCCGCAATAGTTGAAAACTTATCTTTAATATTAAGTTTTCCAACAAATAGAAAGTTTTTTTTTATCAAAATGTTACAATATTTAAATCAACCAACAAATGTTAGAACTAAAAGTCTCTTTATTTATTGCTGAAGTTTTACAATTCTGCAGCATTTTGTAACCAAGTATTTAGAAGCATCATGAAATAACTAAGCAAGTAAAATTTATGATTATGTTGAACCAAGTGCTGAACTGCAGTTTTTACTTGGGCATGCTGTATATCGTTTAGGACATATGCATACAACGATGTTAAAATTAATTTTGATGTTTTAAAAAAGCTTAGCAACAAGTCGAGTTTAGATTGCATGGAAAAATTTCTTAACTGAAAGTTCAAATAAAGCTCAATCTTCATTTTCAGATCATCAAAATGTATGCAAATTTCATGTAGACGATTTCTAGAATGATTCTATGTTCTAATAAATATCAAAGTTCTCTCAAGTGAAAACAATTACTTTTACCTTCTTTCTGCACTTGAACTGTACAAAAGGTTCGAGTTTTATTTTTTTAACTTTTTTTCTATCTGATTTGAAAGTAACGTTGAAAATTGTTGAGATGTTGAACAGGTAGATGAAACTCAAATAGAAATGTTGAAAGTTCATCCCCATCCACACCAGAGAGATTTATTTAAATATGAAAATATTAAAAAATATATGTACAACAACTTTGCCCCAGGTTTTCTAGTGATGAAAATCATGAAACTTTACTCTCACACTTTCTGTTTATTCAATGTTTCTCTGACGATGGGACGATAGAACTTTTTTTTCTGCTTACAAGCAGATTCTCTTCGAAACTGTAAAACTGGCAGACTTTACCGCATGACTTCTCACATAATATTTGAGATGGTATAGAAGCTCAATAAGTGGCTTGATAATGAGTTTTACAGTGCCCTGTGAAATTATTTTCTTTTTAAATTCTACAGTCGTTCCATACATAATAAGGGTTCACTCCCAAGGAAGAACTTCTGTATCCTATTGCATAAACTTAAATCTATTTAATTTTATTCACTTTCAAAAACTCATCAGTGTTGCAGAATTAGTTGGAGAAGGCATGAAGGGTTTTGATGATGATGAAAACTTTGGAATAAACTTTTCTCCTTTTCTTTTGATGCGAGGCTTGAATATTATGTAAACATAAAAACCACTTTACACTGGAACGACATTGTGAAATGTAAACGAATCGTAAAATTAATCATTGAATGGTACATTTGGAAGATCTTTTTATTCATTGTGTGTAGATCGAGGTGAAAATATTAATGGAGCTCAAGAATGACAAAAGCTAGCCCATTTATGCTCACGTTTGCAAATCGAACACAAGAGATAAATAAATATCACATGAATTATGATCTAGATAAGGAAAAGTATCGTAGAAATGTGAAACTTTGAAAAATGGGCAGCGATGTGAAAAGAAATGTGGAAAATTGTATCGTCAACAAGAAAAAAACGAAAACATATTTTCCATCTTTATAAACGTGAAAAATATTGAATAAATTCACAATAAATTACAACGCGTTTAAAATGATTCCATTTTCATGATGCGCGTCAGACGTTGTAATAAAAATTCCCATCATGAAAATTTAATCAATTTGCATTCGTTTTCATGTACAAAATCTTACGGGAAAAAATCGTTTACACAATTTTCGGCGTTTTTGTATAAAAATCGAGGCAATCTGCATCCGAAATTGAGGCACATCTTGTATGTATCATTGACTGAGAAAAAGTTAAATTTGCATTCGGATTTGCAGAAGTTTTTGATTGTCGATTTTCACTTGCTTATCACACGTTTTTTGGAATGTTTCCTATTTTTCCTCCCACAAAGATTGATAACAAAATATGAGAAATAACATACCAAAGTATTACTTTTTATGAATGTTTGATCATTCGCATTTTCAAGCCATAAAAAGTCAACGAAATAATTCATTCTTTAGGATGTTTCATTCGTGACCTCTCAGTTCAACATCAAACAATCGTTAAATTTAATCTTTTGTTCGATGAAAAAAGCACATAATATCGAATGACAAACATCAAATCCATCAAGAATCTATAAACCTAAGTAAATACATCTTAAGCCTATAAAATATTTCTCATTGTGTTGTGATAATAAAGTTTTTCGCCGAAAACATTGATTAGCTTTCAGGAAGTTAAGCTTTGCTAGTAATATTTTGTCTGCTTATACAATTTACTGACTTTCACCAATTACGACTGCTGGTATCATCATTGAATTATGGGAATGTTAGTAATAATTTTATCTCGTGATCATTTTACTAAAAATCATCCACAACAGCGGAGTATCATCGCGAAGATATCATAAATTTTATAACATAAGTATGAAGATGAACACATAAGAAGAGTTATAAATGATTTAAAGTGAGAATTCTTCTCCTTCAGCAAGCAATGGTTTGGCCATGTTTTCCGAATGTGACGGGAAAATTTTTCAATGGAATCATACGAGGATAAATAAAACATTTGGGGTGATGGTGAAAAGAGGAAATTTTATAAAATCAATCATTGTGCGACAGGAAATTATTGATCAGCTGTCACTCAATCAATGATGAAAAAATATTACAGCTTTTGATGATGAAGAATCAACCTTTAAGGTAAATGTTTGTAGATTTTATAAAGGATAGATAAACATTCAGCAAATGTTTCAAAACTCTTCACTGAAAAAACAGAAATGTAATTAATCACTAAAATGATCATAAGTCAAAAATTTATCGACGACGAATTTATAAATTTAAATTTATTGTGATAACGAGAAAATATTTACGTTACTGTTTTATGTATGTGCTCATCACTTTATAATCCACCAATTACGCTTTCTGTTTATTTAATTTTTTTTTTGCCATAATGCTTCATAATGTAAATAAACGAAGGAAAATGTCAAAGATTAAACATACTCTGTATCAGTCTAGCACCATAAGAAGCCCCAATGTTTATAAAATGTTTTGGCTTCTCGTCAATGAACATAAGAACCACAAAATAAATTTCCAATTTTAGCATTCAGTACTTAAAATGGTTTATTCACCGAACAAGATCTTCTAATAATTAAAACGTTTAGAAGTTGAAACTGATAAAAATTGAGGTAGATACTTGACAGTTCTCGCATGAATCATTATTTGTGGGAATAATTTGACCAATTTATCGTTTATAGTCAAGTGCACATGTGTTCCGAGTGTATCGAGTAAATGGTTGAATTTTAATTGGACATATGGCTTTCAAACCCACAAAACGAACCACATAACTCAATTAAGGCAAACATAACTGACAACAGCATAAAAAGAGATTTGGTGCTAGTTCATGTCCAAGTAATGGCTAAGTGAAATATCGTGAAGAACCAGATGAGTGTAAATTTAAATATAGACAGGAAATGATGAGATTGGTCTTCAATTTAACCTCAATACGAGTGTGCTTAACAAGTGAGTTGAAATAAAGGTTCAGAATAGTTGCACAGCAACAGAATCGAAATGTGTTTTGCTACCTGATAAGCTTCATTAAATCTTGCAAACAACAGTAACATGTTAGCATAACCAACTCAATTTTCAACTATCTAAGTTTTTAAACGTCATGTATAAGTGTTGACAGATGTGACAGATGTGCAAAGTTAAAGTTGAAAATGTGTTGAGCAAATATTACGAGATATCAAATTGAACTTTAACTTTCAATGTTTACTTATATGGATCAAACAGCAACACAACCGGAACTGATATCAATGTTTTAAATAAATAAATTCGATCTTGATGCGAGAGATTTTTATTTCTCTTCCTCTGTATCTGAAATATATTTTGTTGAACTTCTATTCACATATACTTCCTCAGAGGAATAAAAAGCTTATTGAAGACAGAATTCTGAAGCATAAGAAAAGAATAAACTGCAAGCTTGTAATTCACGATAAAGTTGCATGATAGAGTTGCTTTCTGTCATTGTTGATTCAAAGAAGAAATGTGTTGCTGCACTTTCTTTGAATGATAAATTTATTTGCAAAGCTCTTCTACGTTATTTACTACATTACTACATTTTAGTGTAAACTTCTGACAAAACTTATTTTATTAAAGGTTAAATTTTATTTCGCAAATTAATACATAGTAAGAACATGTGCATAAATTTAATTGAACAGAAATTGATTCCTAAATTAACATAAGAATAATGCTCGATATGTTCATCTCACACATTCACGCACAAATTCAATTTCTCTAAGTAACTCTCATAGCTCAATTTGAAATCTGAAAGACTGAAGGCAACAAATCGCTGAAGAAGAAATATTTCAAGCAATTAATATAATTTGCTGTTTAATGTTTCTGTACTTAGAATTCCTAACATCAAACATAAATTTATGACATAAATTTTAGGCTTCTTTGTGGTTAAAATGTTGCTTCAAATAAAGAGAAGAACATTAAATCGAAGTCACGCTACATTTATCACCCACGCGATCAAGAGAATGAAGAAAATTGAGTTTCCATTCTTGTTGGAGTTAAAAGGCGCAATGATGATGCAAAAGTTACAAATTGTTGTTATGTTACGCCTATTTGATATGCTTATTGTCGATGCTTGTCTGTCATGGATATTTTAATCCAGCTGAAAGTATTCGTCGATGCCAATCGTCGCACTTCGTTACTAGTAAAAAAAATTCTTAATGTCGAAACATTTTAATAAATCAAAAGCCAACAATTGATGAAAATAAATAAATTTATGCTTCTTTATCGTAACTGAGTGCTGATGGATGAATTTGCAATAATCTTCTTCAATATCAAACGCTTACCAGCATTTTCTTTGTCATTACGAGTCAATTAAATATTCGTCTCTTTATCTGTTGATTGATTACACTCGAAATTGAACCACTAATCTATTTAAATGAGGCCATGAATTTCAATTTTCTTCAAACTTGTTGGCTTGAGACTTATTCAATGAGAAATACGTTTGGATTCAATTTTCTGAAATTACGAAGACAATAAAATAACGTGATTAAAAGGAACGAAGCGTTCGCTAGCAAAACAATTCAAGTGAACATAAACAAACATTTATCAGTGTATGTGTAAAAGACAAAGCGAGTATTAAATGGGGGAGTTAAACTTCAATAAGCATAAAATAAACATTTTTAAAACATATAATCGTAATTAAAAATGCTTCTTTCTTTCCGACTTATAAAAGCCGCACGTCCTTCTGGAGAGACGATAAAACAAGATAAAGTAAACAAAATATCTTCCAAATTACTAAGCTCACCCACAACGTCGCTTTTCGCAAATTAAGCAAATGAATAAAATTTCAATTAAAAAGTTGCCAGAGCGTGATCAAACCATGTTGTTTTATAATGTGTTGTGCATAATTTAATTTATGCTAACATTTGAAAACATCACTTATAAAAAGGATTTAAATAATTCTTTGCTTTCTTCTTTTACTTTATTTAGGGGGTAAAAATTTTTCCATTGCTTTGTATGGAACGTTTTTAACCAAGCAAAGCAAACAAAATTATAAATGCATATTTTTTGAGAGGCAAAATGAAGAAAAGGAAACTTTGGATAACAAGAGCATAAAAGTGATAAAGATAAATCTAATGAAAGAAAATTTGTCTCTTGAATAAACATGAAAATATTTTGCTTATGTTGTTGTTCATAAATGAAAATATTCTTCTCTTTTTGTCGATAATATTTATTTATGTTGCATATGGATATATGATTTAATATTGTTTTCTCTCTTCTGCTGATGTGCTTTTTAGCTTCTCTAACTTAACGTATCCAATGTATTGAAGCGGATGATTCTTTAATATTTAAGTAAACATCATGTGCAATGAAGATGAATGCATTAAACATATTTTCCTCTTTCACTTCCGATCGGATGTTTTCAAGATAAATCTTCCAGAGTCAAAAGTTTTCTTTCCGACTAAGTTTTTAAACCGAATAAAGAAATCAAAATAATAATAAAAAGGAAGAAGAAGCTCTTCAAGATGTCTCAAAGGAGATTTTAATTGAAACTACATATTGAACTACGATGGTTTGTAAATATTTAAACAATTCATCTTCTTTCTTCTTCGCTTCACACATGCCAAACACACGATAGGTAATTTCAAATGGTTTTGCTTCTTATGAACATCAAATTGATCTTGAAATTGCTGATTTATTGATATTGACTACCATCACGGTACATGTTGCTAAATATTTATAAATAACTTCTCAGCTAACAAAACGAAATTGATTCAATATTCAACATCTGATGCGGGAAATTAATATTTTTTATTCACAAATATATTTACTCACTTGAACTGAATACAAATATGAAAACAAAACTTGCCGAAGAGAAAACAGAAAAAATTATTTCACGTTAAAAATGGAGAGATTCGAATTCTGGTGTGCATAGCGTGTAAAGTGACAAAAATAATCTATAAAATACACAAAAGACAACATGTAAGAACTTAAATGGATTTTTACTTGTGGTAAAAGAAAACAGGAAGAGTACAAAAGGGCTTTTCCCATAATTGTCAAAGTAAAGCTTGACTGCCTTTTGCCTTTACTTTCATTCAACACAACACGATACAATGATGAAATGTCACAATAAAAATCAATAAATGAACTCTCAATCTCGTTGGATAAAAACATGTTATGTATGCGGACCTGAAACGAAAACAACCATCAACAAAAAAAGGAAGAAGAAATTCAGCATTTATTGATATTTTAAATCAGCGAGAAATATAAGAAGCGGGGGTGGGTGTTTTTATGTAGAACGGAACGAAATGTTGAAACATGACTATAAATTTCGCCATATCGTAAAACACATATCGCACATATGTTTTTCAGCGAACGTTTGCAAAGCATAAAACTGCATTACGGAAAGCGCGGGCATGTGCGAAAATTTGTTAAGCCGTGCGAAGTGAGAAAGTTGATGTAAATATATCAACATAATCAAAAAGCAGCTTCGTTGAATGAAATCATGATTAAAGAATAGCACGAAAAAGAAATAGAAAAAGCTTCGTCTATGTCGTTTGAATTATAAAAAAGAAAGATGGAAAAAAAATGAAAGGCTTTCATTTCAAATATGAAACTTCAAAGGAAATTTCAGAATCAAAGAAAACCTTTTTCTTTTCTTGCTTCTTGTTTTCAATTTCATTTTTAACTTCCTTAATGCTGTTTATTATCCCATAAACTGTAAATTGTATCACATTCACATACATAAAGCTAATGGAGGCAACGGCACAATGTGATTACAAAATGATTTACATTTAAATCCTTTATGGTACAACTGGATGTTGGTTATATCCGGTTAATAGCACGAAAGCTTCGATACCTCACAGCTTTAGCTTTTTCATCATCTCGTTTTGATTCAATCTCGGTAATATTGGATTTTTTTAAACATATTTTTTTTCTTTCTTGTGCAATTTTCACCAGCCATGATCCAGTATCGTTTGTAATGCCTTTTAAAGCAAGCAAGTGAGTGAACGACGAAGATTCAGTAAAACATTAAAATGATTTATTTATGGTATTCTTTAAATCAATATCGTGGTTCATGAACAAAACCATCAAAACATGCTTCATGATGAGGTAGTCAACTTAATGTCGACATTAACGGATTAATCGTGAATGTTTCATCAACGTTTATTCTTCTCATAAGTGTCAGGTTTAGAGAACAGGAAGGAATAATAACCAAATGTGTGGGAGTAAATAGCGGTTATAAAACCAAAAAGAAGGAAATAATATCATTAAGACATTAATATTTTATGACATAGAATCTTAATTGTCCAGATGACAGCATTATACTAGACACTCTCATCCATTAGGATGCCATAAAAAGTCATAGAAATTAATTGTGAAATTATTTAACAATAAAATTTCAAATCCGAAATCATAAAATATTCATAAAATGAACATGCATAAATAATTAGATGTGTGACTGACATGACAACTATTAAAGTTTATAATAAAACTTAAATTGGTTTTAATTTAATCAAACCTTTTTTATTTTTATTGAAACATTCTATCATCAGTCTTGATAGCACATCTAGTCATAAAAATCTCAAAGAAAGGGCCTTCAAAATAAAATTGAGAAACAATAAAAGTGAAATACGCAGTAGGCGGAGGTGAAGTTATTATCTTTTAATGAAAATCATGTTTTGAAAAATTCATTTTATTTCTAACATTCCATCAACTTGCCTTGTATTGTTTTGCTTTCCTTCAATTTAAAACAGAAAATTTCTAGGAAAGATAACCGAAGCTTGAAGACAAAGAAAAGTTCAAGGGCATGAATTTTAGTCTGAAACATTACATTTGCTTTAAAATTAGGAAAGGAAATAAAATAAATTAAAAGTATTCTTTCAGTTATTTAAAAGATCACTTCGGGTATAAAGTTTAGGTTAACGCTTTACAACCACTTTTGCTATTTTGGAACTCGCTATGAAATGCATCAAGTGTGTTTAATGTCATTGAAAGATTTACTGCGTTCAACTTCCAGTAATATCTTCATTTGCTTCAGTTAAAGTTTTAACTATCTTTATTTTAATAGGAATTTTAAAAAGCGTCCATTATTTCAGAACATTGTTTAACAAATTAAAATTCATTTCTTAAATCCTAAGGAGACCCAATCACGTGATTTACTCAGATTTGCCAAAATTTATTCAGTCTAATACAAATTTTCAATCTAGATATGTCATTGAAGTATTCAAGTTGTTGTATTCTTTTTTTTTAATACTCGAAGCAATTAATTTTCAATCAGCTTTCATTTCAGATTTTCTTCTCTTTCTCTTTTCACAATATGAAGTGACATGGAAACTTCTTCCTTTTTCCACCCGTTTTCCACTTTTTTTCATTATTTAACTGATAAGGAGTCGAACAAGGGTCTCCATCTGTATCATTTCAGTTGATCGAATACCTTTTCTCAAGACAAGAGACAAAAATCGGGGTTGTTGAAATTATCATATTCTTTGTTTATTTTGCATTTTTTCCATTCTATCTTTAGCCCCTTTTTTCGTATTCATCGATAAATCGGAATGATATTACGGAGTATTATTATGGGTACGCAATTAAGCGGCTCCTTATGCCGCTCAGATATATCTTATTTCATGCTTGAAGCCAGATATTCTCTTGAAAGAGAACAAAAAATATTCCTTTTCAATAAGAATGAAGAGATTATTCAGGGGCCGGTCGAAAAATAAGTCACTGGGTTATGTTTCTCCTTAGCTTTTTAACATACACTCATGATTATATTATCATCATAATATCATGCACAAGAATAAAGATATTGCCAATGAAAGGAAGAAAAAGAAATCCTTTTTATAAAGGAAACAAATTTTGATACACATTAGCTTAACTTACGTAAATGCTAACAAAAATGTTCGTTTAGCATAATTTTCCCTTTATTCCCTTTTTTTCAATGTATCTGGGTGTGTGTTGTGTTGTATACATATTCAAAAAATCATATTTAAAAGTAACAAATAAGTTTTGCAAGATTTTACTATCTCATAATCATAAGGAAACTTTTGCAATTCTTTACTAAGACATTTTAAAGTTTTCTTCAAAGAATGTCTCCTTGCTGTTCACTAATGATTTGTTCCATCGTTGTCTTAAAACTATAAAAATTATGAAGTAATAATATTAATAAATATTTCAATTGAAATAAGTTTAACTTTCTTATGAGATATTTGAGAATTATTACAATAATTGCAATGAGAAACATAAAACGACAACTAAATAAAAATTTTAAGCTGCACTTCATATTAATTTGCTATCCGTCTCTTTCACTGGAAATGACTTCACTCGTTATTAATCTTATAATGTGCCTTATCAGCTTTTCCAATGAGTGTGCTAAATAAATATTTAAAAGTTCAAACAAAGAAACGATTATTAAATGTTTCCAGTACTTGATTAAATCCTTCAAGCTCAACATGTCTTATAACTTTTTTATTATTTGTTACTTGTTATTTTATTTGTCATTTGTAAAATTAATTGTAACTTCTGCAATGACAAGAAATCTAGACGGATGAAAGGATTTGATGCTTCTCGGAGAAATCTAATCACAATCACAACGATTTTCGGCATCAATAACTTTGACATTGAATTTATCAATCAGTTGACGTTAAATGTCGTTCCCCATACAGTTTCACTTCAGACGCAAATTTGTCAAATAATCGCATCAAAATGATTCATAACAACACATTTAAGTCTTTCCTGAAATTCTTAAACTTCGTAATAATTTTCTGACTGAAATTAAAAGCTTTTATTTCCAGAACGTGTGGGAACTGTCAGTACTTGAATTGTCAACAAATTTAATTGTCAATATCGAAATGAAATCTTTCATTATGTTGAAAAGTGTGCTACGACTCAACCTCGCCGACAATTGCATCGTAAATTTAGTATTGGATCTACCTATCGTCGCTCTCGATTTACTCAATTTATCGCACAATTAAATTGTGAAATTACCGCTTTTAATATCTTAAGCAATTCGCAGTCTCGATTTATCGAACAATACACGTTTTGAACACTGATGAAGAATTCTCCGTTATAGCAATGGAATTTTAACAAAAACACAACTCACAAGTCGTGTAGGAATCGATAAAATCATTGAACATTGCTGATAATGAGATATCGAATCTGACAAAACTAATTTGATTTAAAAATCTCAGCAGGCAATCCACTTGACTTCAAATTCACTTTAGATTTCTTTCCACTTTTACTCGAATTATTGATATTTAATATTTCTCGGACGGATTTGTCATCATATAATATTGTTAGTGAAATTTTTGCTAAACAAATTAGGAAACTGTCAGTCGATGAAAATCCATTGGAAGCAGATTTTAAAGCCATGAGAAAGTTTTCAAAGCTGGAATACCTGCAATTCAGCGGAGATTTTTGCCACTTTTATAAAATCTCTGATATAAAAATATGAGAGAAGAATATCCACAATTGATCCACGTTTCAATTTTATATGAGAATTAGACAATCGACAATTGTGCAAATGAGAACCGAACAGCATTCTCTAAATTTCGCACGAATTTCAACAGATTGACATCACATTTGCTCGAAGGTTCAAAGCTTTAAAATGGGACAACTTAATAGTATCATTCACTTTCTAATGCTAATTACGAGCATTCGCTTAAGTAAGAAGTTTAATTGAAACAAAAATGTTAATGATGTTGACGTTATAAAAACATGCAATGGAAAAATAAAATGAAATGTTATTTGCCTTCTTCTTATTGTTTCTCTTTGTGCTGCTAGTGTTCTGATTTTATTTCTATCATCACAAACGAATCAATATCACTCCAAGCTACAATAAACCAACACTTGGAATGATGTAAAAAAGGAAAACCAGTGAATGAATTCATTCGAAGCATTGAAACCACTGACAATAGAGCAGACAAATGAAACTTTTCAAAAACAAATAAAATGAAATCAAGTTTTCAAACTTTCGTTGTCAATTTGAAATTTCTCTTCTCAATAAATAGTTTCATAGGATTATCGAACTTACTTCTTTAAGCGTCCAAGTGAAATAATGAAACGAGAGTTCACTCCAGTGAAGAATTAATTTTTTGAAAGCATCGTTAAGAACTTTTCAGCTGTGAAAGTCGTTTGTCGTTGCTTGAAAATTAATGTTGATTGTTAATCGTCACAAAAATCTTCATAAAATTGCAAAAAAAAGCTTATAAAAGATTTACATCACGAAAACTTTTTAATGGATGAAAAACAAATTTTTTTCATTCATGAATATTTAATTTAAGCAACATTAAATTTCCTTCCATCAATACTTGAAACGGAAGTCTTCTTCATTCTCTGACGCTCTCAAATCATTAGAATTTTTACACTGAGACGAAAAAAAAACTTTCTCAGTCTTTGGTTATCAATTTAGAAATATTTCTTTATGTCAGTGTATCTAAGAAGACGAGAATAGATAAATGAGAAAATAAAAAATTCTAGTTTGAGAAAATAATTCAGTTGTTTGTTTAACGCGCATGGTTCCAAATCGAACTCTACAGGTGTCTTGTTCACACATTATTCACGCTAGTTAAGTGAAATCTGTTTAAATCTGCTCCATTTCTGAACGATTTAAATTCATTTTACAGTCAATTGAAGAAGTGAAGAAAAATGAAGAAGCTTTTTTGCTCCTTTTTTCTTATGGTGATAAGCTGGTTTCATGTATGTAATTTAAAAAGCTTTTAACTTGACAGCAAAAATCTCTACGTAACCCAATTAATGTATTTTTCAATTTGATCCCTTAAAGAGCTCAACTTCATTATATTTCGGTGCAAATATAATTCTTCCCCAATTGAAGGATTTGTCGTCAGCTGTGAACAAAGCTTCCACAATGATTGATCAGTTAAAGCCGAATCTATGTACAATTGGTAAAACTCTTCTCATTTTCGACTACGAGGATTATGTTGATGCAGCAAAAGCTATAACAGATGTGGAATATTTGTTTGAAGATGTTCAGCTCTTTTTTGGAAGCAGTTTGAATTGTTTCAATGTTCAGAGTAGCGAAACTACTATTCAAACTTCAGGTCGTAATATTGATAATCTCATCTATCAGTTAGATATCTACATAAGTACGGGATTTAATAAACTATACCAATCTGGAAAAGTTTTGGGAAGAGTTTATGATGAAACTGTTTCATTGCATATCGAAAGAATATCTTCATCGTTTTCATCAGAGTTTGAAACAGTGAAAGAATCATTGAAAATTTTACGTGATAACATTTTGGAATCCTTATTATCAGATAGTGTTTTAACTCCTGGATCCTTAGCAGCAAATATTAACGACACAGCATTAACTGATTTAATAACTGCGTTTAAAGATCTTCAAGTATCCACACAACAATTGTCAACAGTTGTTGCAGGTCTCAAATTCCTAACAATCACTTTAGACATTGTTTCGTCATCAATTTCATACATGCGAGATAAACAAAATGAAGCTATTCAGGCGGCAACTTATGATCTTGACATCACAACTCAAGCTGCTATAAGACTTTTCAATAAAAACACTGTCGACTACCAAGATTTAACTTCGAAAGGGTTTGATACATTCCTTTCATTTTCAACATTATCCCTTCAAAACGATTCTGATATTCAATCAAATCATTTGAAAGTTGAGAATTTTGTGATAAATATTTATGAGCTGCTTGAAAGAAATTCAGTAGAATTTACGGAGACTTTGAACAGGCATTTCAATGATTTATCGCAAGAGATTAGAAACGTTGGAAAAACATTAAAAACTGTAACTCGTCGAATTTCAGATTTAATGGTTGAAGTTCTCGCTGCAAACAGTGGAACTTTCAATAAATGTTTCGCAGAAACTCATGAAAATGCGTTACTCGCACATAAAGCACTTCAAGTTTTCGGTAAAAATATCACAGAATGTATAAAGGTTGAAACAAATATGTCTTTAAAAGCTGAAAGTCTCATATCTTTCATCGTTGAGGATATTGTACTAAACATACAAGGTGCTTCTGATCAATTATGTGCTTGTACACGTAACGATGTCGTTTCAACCAAGGAATGCATAGAAAGTGTGAGTTTGAAATTGTGTGCTACAAATTCAGTTCATTTTAAATATCATTCAATTTAGATTGCATCTGAAATGGAATTGAGTTTGCTTAACGAAGAAACGACATACATCGAAAGTGAAATGGATAACCTTAAAGTAAACATCACAATGGATATTGGAGAGTTCACGACATGCATTGAAACTGCAACTGTGGTGATTGAAGAAGACTTTAAAAGATTCCAGGAATCAGTTTATGAATGTATTTTAACATGATTTATTTTATTCATGTAAGTTATTAAATTTGCTACATTCAAATACAAAACATTTTTAAAACAAATCCAAAGAGTTCCTTCACACGTTCATATGTACAGTTCTTTCCACAAGTTTAATGACCATTAAATTCAAACAAAAGTCTGGATACGGTTCTATGCCTAAAATTAGAGATACTAATAAACGAGTAGCGATATTCACACAGAAAGTTGCAGCAAGGATGTCAACAACTAACTAAAGCAAGAACACAAAACTAAAACCAGTTTCTTTTATTCACTCTCAACTCTTTTCTTATCTTTTGAATTCTCAATTTAGTAGGAACATACATATCATGAAATTTATATTTTGAATATCAATTAGAACCGGAAAAAATCAGTAAATGGCACCTATTAAATTCGGAGATATAGAGAATCAATTAAACGAATGATGTTATAAAAATTTGCATATTTTCGATTTCTTATTTACAATTCATGTGTTGAAATAAGTTAGATGATAAGCCAAAAGACGGCAGTTGATTTGATTCTTTTTATAGCAAAGAAAGATTATAACAAACTTAAGCATCTAGCACATTTAAAATCAATTCATGCAAATCAACCAACACGAGAGACTTGTTTCATTTTTGAAAATATCTTTTTTAACAAAATCTTAAATAATCTTTGGATCGCCCTTAAAAAAGTGAAAGAAAAAAAAATTACAAATTCAAAGATTCAAATGCAAAAGTTTTTTTAAGCATTTTAAGGGAAATACAAAACTCAACTTTAAAAGAATCCAATCAGTTTCAAATCGACTTAAAATATAAAACAAAGATTGAACTAAGAAGCTTTCACATACCAAATTGACTGAAAGTTGACTGAAGTTTATTTGCCTTGCCATCGATTGTTTACAAACAATAGCTTCATCCTAATCTCATACACGATTGAACATTTTTGAAAAGAAAATTTCCACATCATAAAGCTTTTTCAAAAAAAAAATCTCTCTGAAATGGTGTCAGATGCAGCGATGCATTTCAAAGAATTCTGTTTTCCGACGTCAATGCATTTCATTCACGAGGCATTGAATTATGTGAGCGAAAGCAGTGGAAACAGAGAAATTTGAATAATCCCAAAACGAGAATCGTTTCCATAATTCAATGCTGAATGTTCAGTTTTTGTCGGGTTTACGATGAAAAGCTCGTCTCATCGTTAGCGTGATTGCAATAAAAGAAATCAGAGGAAGTTTCGAACGTAACAATTTCTGCTTATTATGCTGAATATATTTTGGAAGTGTTTAAAAATCTACCAACGAGAGATTAAAAACTAAAACACATAAAAATTGGCACGTTAACAATTGAAGTTCCTGAAAAGTTTCTGTTCATTTAGAGCGAATGGAATAAATTTAAATGTCGTTTAAATATCTACCAACTTCATTAACCATGTGCAAGTTTTGTGTGAATAACTAGAAGAATGGATGTTTGAAAGTGCATGAATTTCCAACATAAATTGCATTACTGTTGTCACATGTACATTGTAAAAGTAATTAATTCAAGTGAGAGACAAATGTTACTCAGGTAGATTTTCCTTATAGGAATTTCGAAATATAAAAGAGTTGAAAGTTAAGCTCGATAGACATTTCTACACTGCTTAGAGGTTTTTCATACCCCAAATTGAATTTACATTATTGTAAGCTTAATGAAATTTGAGTAAAACTAAGAAAAAATCACATAAATTTTTATTGCTTCAAAGTGGTTTAAATTTAATAAAACTTTTCCAGAAACTTTGAAAACTGCTAATGCATGTTTCGAAAAACGAAAAGTTTCCCACAAAATTTTGGTAAATAAAAAGATGGAAAAAATAGAGAAGACAGAGTTTGGACTTTATGTTAATCAAGATTGTTAATTAATTAATTTAATTTATTTTAAAATATAAGGAAACACAGAAGCTTGAGGTACTTAATGAAAGGTAAGGTCGCGATGTTCATCATAAATTAAGCTGATTCGGATTTAATCTTCTATTCGATAAATAGTCAAAAATTATTCAAATGAACTTTCAAATCAATATGCATACAAAGCTCATGTGAATCATTACAATTAATCACTTGTTTTAATACATGAATTTTTCCAATCCATCAAAGCTGTTTTATTCTCATAAGTCCATCTCCACTTCTGTTCAATCATGTTTGGATCGCATTTCATTAAAGTAATTTCAGTTCCATTAGCAGTCAAACATTTATTGAAAGGAGATGAAATCTGTCGAGCCAGAAAATGAAACTTCCACTGCTGAAATATTCCTGCATGTACACAATTTGACAATTTTAAATCTGACTCAATGCACTGATCGTTATTATCGTCAGCTTTAATTCTTTGCTCGAATGTTAGAATGAAATTAAGACCATGCGAACGATCACAATCATAAAGTTGGACAGGAATATGATAATGATTATCAACCAATCCAATGCATTTTTCTGTAGCCATTGATTGAATTTTCCCATTTGCAAAGTGTTGCGGAGTTATCGGATAATATTTCAACATTTCAGGTGCTACTTCGTCGAGATAATATTGAAAAGGTTTGCAGTTTAAACTTTTCTTTTTTTCGAACTGTTGTGTCAAATCACCTGGGTCAAGATCTTTATAACGATTAATGTCCGTATTGTAGAAATATTGCTTATAATCATCTAGCCAAACTTCAGCAACACGTTTAAGATTTCGACCAACAAAATCATGAACTTCTTTTGTTTCCCGATAAGCTGAATGAGTTTTAGACAAATGTGTAACACGAGAACAAGGAACTGCGAGAATTCCTCCGGAACAAAGCCACAGTTTTAATGATAATTCATAGTTTTCTCCGTTCCAAATTAGTAATCCTTCATCATATCCACCGAGATAAAAGAAATGATCTCTTCTTATTGCATACGACTCACCGACATGCATAGGAAGTTCATAAGGAGCGCCTTCGATTTTCTTATCCTTCGATCGTAGTGGAAGATATTGATATCTGAAACTCCAATCGAAAAGACCACGATAGCCATTTCCAGAATAACTAGGTGTGAATGTTTTATGATTCATTCCATCTATAATAGCAGCCGTTGCAAATGTAGGATTTAAGACTAATGGATCTAAAATTTAATTCAAGTATTAATGAATTATTAACGCATTTGAAATATAATTTGACCCTACTAAGCAATGGTGGAAGCCATGAGTTGTAAACTTCCACGTGAGAATCAATAAATATGATGACTTCACCAGATGATGCATAAGCTCCAGTCATTCTAGCTTTGATAAGCCCTTGTCGTTCATTGTTCTCAATCATTACAACTTTGTCACCAAATTCTCGATTAACATGTTCACGAATAGGTTCGTAGAGTTCTGGAAAAGTACTCTTGTCGTTGACTAAGACAATCTCGTGAAGAAGTGTTTTTGGTGAACGATTGTAAATGGAATGAAGGCATCGTAGAAGAACGCTTGGAATTTCATTATGAAAGACCACAATTACAGAAGCATTCGGAAGGTTTCTGAAGTACTTTTGTGTCTTACAACTAGATACAAAAAAATGATAATACAAGTACGCATTCATTATGACGCTGAAATTTTACATACACAGCTGGTCTGTGATCAGGCAATGATCGATTGACTGAAATTTTATTGCTGACATCAACATAAAATCCTTCTTTTCTCTCCCACTCTTCATTTGCCGATAATTCTTCGGGATCAGACACGATCACAGGTTCACCATGTTCTCCAGGACCGATTCTTGTTGCTTCATAATTTATAAATTCTTCATCTTCCCAACTCACTTCAATGTTATTTTCAAATTTATTTTCAGAACTTTTATTAAAATTTTGATTTTTTCTTGATATATCCAAGCAAATCAAAATAATAAATGAAATTAAAATGTAAATTTTATTTTTCAAACATATCCTTACAACTTTTAATCTCATTATTAATCGATTTATAAAGTCTCACTATAGACTTAACTATAACTTTCAAATAAAGTCTGAAAATTTGGCTTCTTTCTTAATACAGACACACTCATAAGTCAGCAATTTTGAAACAAATACATTTTTACATTTTCGCCTTTACAATCCAGATGTTTTTTATTTGATAATAGGTATATTTTTTCAAATATGATATTCGATAGTTGTGACATTTTTAATATCTACTTATTATAAAGAAAATGAAATTATCGGAATGATCTTTATTGCGATACGGAATTTGCATACATAAGTGAATAAAAATGATATTTATTTAGAATTCTAAATCGAATAAACTTCAAAAATTGGGGACAAATTTGCTTCAATGGGCTTAATGCCTGTACAATTTAAGGTACGATTCTGGTTCAGTTCTCCGTGGCGATCACTTGGACTAAGGGTTTCAGAAGTTTAGATACTTCATCCCAATTTTATTTAAAAGTGGAAGTTTCACTAATATAAAATAAACTGAAATGTCACTTTGTATCAAATCTGATAAAATTAGAATTTTGTCAAATGTGAACATTGAAGAGTATTTATTTAAGAATATACAATCTGCTGTGTAACGCTACTGAAAATGAAACCCTCATCATACAAGTGATGAGACATGGGGAGTGAAACAAGATGGAATTTACAACTACAGTGGACTCTCGTTATAATTAACTCTTGTTATAACTCTTCTCTGTTAGACATTAAGTGGACGCATAACGGGCGGTTGTAGCAGTTTAACTGTTATCAACCATAATGTCCAATGCAACATGATTGCTAACGCAATCATGTGGAGTCTCTCATAAGGAGAAACTCGTCCGAGACTTGATGATGATGAACTCTTCTCTCGTTATAATTACCGTTTCGAAAATCATTTCGAAAAAAAACGGGAACAAAATTCTCTCGTTATAATTTTTCTCTCGTTATAATTACCATTTTCTCGGTCCCTTCAGAGTTAATTATAACGAGAGTTCACTGTAGATACAAAAAAATGATAATACAAGTACGCATTCATTATGACGCTGAAATTTTACATACACAGCTGGTCTGTGATCAGGCAATGATCGATTAACTGAAATTTTATTGCTGACATCAACATAAAATCCTTCTTTTCTCTCCCACTCTTCATTTGCCGATAATTCTTCGGGATCAGACACGATCACAGGTTCACCATGTTCTCCAGGACCGATTCTAGTTGCTTCATAATTTATAAATTCTTCATCTTCCCAACTCACTTCAATGTTATTTTCAAATTTATTTTCAGAACTTCTATAAAAATTTTGATTTTTTCTTGATATGTGCAAGTAAATCAAAATAAGAAAAGAAATGAGAATATGAAATTTAAATTTCATACATGTGCTTACAACTTTTAATTTCATTATTAATCGATTTATGAACTCTCACACTGTAAGATCAAACTAAAAGTTACAAATCAAGTCTGAAAAGATGACTTTCTTAATACAGACACGCTCATGAGTTAGAAATTCTGCAACAAATACATTTATGCAATCGTTTTTGCATATTCGCCTGAAATTTCAAATCCAGATATTTTTGAGACATTCTTTACTTGTTCATGTTTTTCAAATATATTTTTTGATAGTTGTGAAATTCTTATTAACGTTTACAGTGGAACTTCAAGAAACAGATGCGTCAATAAATTTATATCCTTAATAAACGGATGAACACGAATATCTTTAAAAGATTGCCTTAATAAAATAATAGCCTCGTTAAACAAGTTTGTTTTTGCCCCTTGAGCCAACTGTTTATCGAAGTTCCACTGTATAATACAAATAAATTTGTTGGAATGATCACTAATGCGATGCGGTGTCGCATTAATAAGTAAATAAAACTGATATTCATATGAAATTCTAAATGGAATAAACGTCAAAACTTTGTGATCCCATTGCAATTTTCTCAACCACAGCTGAAAGCGACAACATGTACAAAATATTGAGTACAAAAAATATTTTTAACAATTATAAAAGCATCGTCCGCCATATGTCCGGATCATATATAAAATATTCAGAGAAATTACAGTAACAAAAATACGTAAAACGAAGCATTCGTATAATTTACAAGTCCAAAAAGCAGAGTTGGGCAAATTGCACGCCCAACTCGATTGACTGACTGACTGACAGACATTGACTGACTGTCAAAATGTCAATATCACAATATCACAGTCTCAAAAATGAAGCAGAAATTTTGCTTCGGATATTGGTCAGCCAGACAAAAACAGACCATGTGGTTATTTATTTTTGCAGAAATACTTCAGTGATTTTATCACAACATGCGGTGATTAATCACAAGATTTTGAAAATTTGTTCAGTGATTAATCACCGAATGTTGTGATATATCACTAAAATGTAAGTGATAATCACAATAGAATATAAATATTTAAAGTTTATTCTGGTGCTCATACTTACCATTAGCAAGCTTCTCGTAAATTCTTCTCTCATTTCTTGACTTGTTTTTAGCTAAAGTCATGGAAAAATATTAAAAATTATGTTAATTATATTAATAAATTGGAAATAAATTCCCCTNTGTCCGGATCATATATAAAATATTCAGAGAAATTACAGTAACAAAAATACGTAAAACGAAGCATTCGTATAATTTACAAGTCCAAAAAGGCCAATGTGTTTGCGTGGGTGTGAATGCACATTAAAAGCGAATTATGTTTGGTATTTAAATTAAATTTATATTAAGGTCATGTGTTTAATGATATTTCACTTCAAGCTTGTTTTTCAAACAATCCATTGTGTTCATTTCAATAATGCAATTTATGCATAAATTATAGTTTAATGAATTATTCGACTCTGACATTTAATTTGAAAATCTAGGGCAATATGATAAGAAAGAGATGATGTAAAGATTAATCCTTTGTCATGTGTTGGAATCTCTAAGCGTGTGATTGAATAATTTCTATGCACCAGTCGTTTAATGAATTAGATTGGATTTATAATGAAAACTTCAACAGTGGTTTGTTTCTATTTATTTAATTCAGTTCATAATACGAAAAGATTTAAATTTATTATCCTATAATAAACTTCTCAATTGACCTGCAAACATTCGGTGAATTCGAAGAAGAATTATTGCAAAAAGTAACGAATGAAGTTGTAAAATTTAACGAGCAGCAAATGCATCATTTTGTTCTCTGGGTGTTTTCTATGTCTGTGGGGCAGCTGAGCATGATTTCATTGGAATTTTAGTTTGAGCTCAAAGAGGGTCATCAATCCCCAAGAGTCCAACAATCCATTCGAACGATAATTGAACTTTTTCCAAGCTAAAAGCATTTTGGTTTATGCATAGAATTTATAAAAAATATTTTTTTCGACTTTTCGACATCTCAAGCGTAACCAAATAAACGCCTTCCTTTGCAAAAGCTTTTTGTACACATGTCGACTCGAGCACTCAACAATCTGTAATAAATTCCAATAAAAAAATTGATAAGAGAAGAAATTTTTCGAAAAGATTTTCATTTGAAAAATGCAAATTGCATCATCATTTTACATGCTTTGTTACGCTTTTGTGAGAGTTCCCATCTGTTATTCGAGTTAAGCTTTGAAATTCTTTCTCATAATTTCAAAACTTTTCCACTTATTTTTCAAAAGAATCTCCAGCAACTGATGGAAAGCTTGATTAAAGCAACTATCATCTTCATACTAGCTCTGCTATCAGTGCAGAAAGAACGGCAGTCTATTAATGAAGATTCAATAGAGAATTCAATTAAAATTCACTAGACAAACCAAAGTATCTATCTATACGATAAAATGAGAACTACTCGCAGTGAGCTTATTATGGGTAGCAAAATATCTCATTAACAAACTTAACACAAATTTCATTATCTTGAGCGTCGTTGCATACGAAGAACTAAAATTAAGCAAAGAACTTTAATTAAAGAGAAACTAGAGGAGATAATATTTCGTTGCTGAGTTAAGAGAAAATTTCCAACGAGCTTTGATGAGAGATTTTTTATTCAACATCATCGATTACAAAAGGAGAAAAATTGAATAATAATTGCCGCTGCATATTGAAAGGGAAATTATGCTTAAAGGGTTTGTATGTTACAATTATGCTAAATAATGAACGGTCATTCATTAAGTTATCTAATTTAATAATTAAAAATCAATTTAAAATAATTGCTCTGAACAAGAATTAGAAGGAAGCTTTAAAAGTCATTGAAAATTTATTTGAATTATTACTAATATGATTGAATTTCCTCAAAATATAGAAATTCAAAACTTTTATGGAAACATTTAAGAATTAATTTTGTCACTTTTCAAAGCTGCTGATTTCATGAAATGAGGTCGTCGAAAGAGAGTAGGATGAATAAGAGATAGACGTTGAATTTGGTTACCAGTTTTCAATATTTTTTTTCTGGTGGAAAAATCGTTTTGTCTGACAATTTTCTGATATCAAACTAAAGATAAATCACATAAGTTCTTGTGGAGCTCAAATTTTCACGCAGTTGAAGAAAATTTAGTGAGATAATTAAAATCTAAATTTTTTCCACGTTTTTAACGATGGGCAAAGACGAAACAAAAGAACAAAGAAACAATACTCTGCGTTCTGCAAACAATGAAGTTTCTCTCACTGATATTGGTAGAAGCTTATCCGCCATCAATGAAACTCTGGCTAAAATGAAAACTGGTCAAGAAAAACTGAGTGATGACATTAAACAAGTCAGAGGTGACATCAAGAAGAGTAGCGACGAGATTAAAATGATTGCTGATGGTCTTAAAAATCTAAAGACGACTATGCACGATACAATTGCTAACGTCAGCCGCATTGAACGTAAACTTGAAGATGCCCTTGAGATTGATAAACGAATTAATAACCTACGTTTAGACGGGTTGTCCTATCAAGCAGATGAGAAACTTGATCATATCATGCAAAATCTTTTAAGTCGACTCGGTTATGCAAACTCTGGTCCACGGTTTAAAGCATATCGACTAAAATCTCAAGATAACTCGCAGGGCTCGGTCATTATCAAATTTGCTACGGCTTTTGACAAAAACATTGTTTATGAACGTTATCTCAAGCTAACCAAATACATCACTGTTGGTCTGCTTACGGGTTCATCTGATCAAAAACGGTGTTTCCTCTCTCACGATCTATCAAGAAATCAATATGCCATAAATAAAGCTGCAGTTGCTGCAAAAAAAGAAGGGAGAATCCACAAAATCAGAACTGTTAATGGATGTGTTTTGGTCAAAATTTCACCACAAGGAGAATTCCGATGTTTCGACACACCCGAGATGCTTAAAGAAGAAATCAGCGAATAGAAGGAAGATTGGTAGCCTGTTTTCAACATTGGAGAATTATTAAAATTTAGAATTTATGAATTATACTTATTTTCAATTTCCTGTGATTTTCGTGATGCTAATGCCGCTTTATTTTTTTTTAGCAATTAAATATTTCTCAATCGATCCAAAACGTGCAATGAAGCTGTTACGCCATTTAATTTCAGTGAGTAAAATAAACTACATTCCCTTGATATCCTTATCCTTGAGTGACGTTTGTTGTGTTCAATTGTGGGTGGGGTGTGACGGCCTCCTTGTGAGTGTTGATAGTTATGGTTGACTTGGGATTAAATCGGGGTGGTAAAATTGGCGACTCTTTAATCTTAAAAAATGCTGTTGTCAAATCTGTTTTCAAGTCATTAAATGAGCTGAATATTATTCATATTAACCCAGGAAGCTTTAAAAAGAATATAGGGGAAACTCAACTTATTATTAAAAACACAAACACACATATCCTCGCAGTGTCAGAAACCTGGTTCACTGATAAGACAAACGATAATCTTGTTATGCTCGATGGGTATAATATCTTCAGAAATGACCGTAAAGATATTAATAAAATGCGTGGAGGTGGTGTAGCTTTATATGTTAAAGAGGGAATTAAAGCTAAAATAATTAATAAGAGCCGATCGAATTCTAAAATTGAATACTTATTCATCGAAATCATGGGTGCAAATAATGCTAAAATTTGTGTTGGGGTTGTTTCATTTTTCGTGTATGGAGTTCGCCAATGGAACTCACTGCCCGGTGACCTTAGGTCGATCAGTGCCATGTCTGCATTCCGTAGTGAGTGTTTGTCTTACTTTGCCCTGTTGACACAAGATTAATGTTACTCAATCTCCCTTTGATATTCCTTCCTAATGTTCCCTTTTCCTTTTAGTTTATTTTTCTCATAATCTTCAACTTATATTTTTGATTAGATGTATAATTGGATAATTATTTTTTTTTGTTTNACATTCTGTTGAATGTTGTGGATGCGAAAGTTTATGAGTTCTGCGACTTAGCTCGAAAGTTGCATTGTGATCATGGATTCAATCGAAATACTTTACCAGATTGGATGTGCTTGATTCAAGCTGAAAGCAGTTACAATAGCAAAGCTGTTGGGCCTCCTAATAATGATGGATCGCGAGATTATGGACTCTGGCAAATCAATGATAGATATTGGTGTAAAAATGGTAACAATAAAAATGATCTAAATATTCAACTATTTTTAGTTATAAATGTTTTTAATTTATGCACACAGGAAAGAAGGGTGGCGATTGTAATATGGATTGTCAAAGTAAGTAGCAAATCTTTCACTATATAATTACATAATTTCTACTTTTTTTTTCATTCCCTTTTCCTTAGAACTTCTTGATGATAATTTAGCAGATGATGTGGTGTGTGTTAGAAAAATTCATCAGCGCCATGGTTATAATGCATGGTATGGATGGATAAAAAGTTGCAAAGGGAAGGCGCTCCCAAATACAGAAAAATGTTTTTAATCAAAATTGTACCGAAATATTGCGAAATATTTCTTCAAAAAGCGTTTCAATAAAGGTTGAATTAATTGATGTTATGCATCGGTTAAATATAACTTAATCACACTGTTAATAGGCTTCACACCTATCAATATTTTTCTTGTGATAATAAAAAATTTTAATTAAAGCTGCTTTAAGAACATGAATTTTGACCGTTATTTAAAATCACTCTAAGTGAAAGTTTCAAGTCATATTTTCGTACTCTAAAACGATTTTCGCAAATTGTAAAGA